TTTCTTCATTAAATTCTTTTCATGTCATCTCCTGATAAGATTAGTCAAAGATCTCATTAGTTAGGATTATTTAGATTCTATTTGTTTAGATTATTTCAAATTTTATAATATCTAGATCTTAACTAATGTTGATGTATACCTATAAATAGAGGCAATGTAATGTACTGCTGCACACGATACAATTTATGATTTCATCTTCTTTCATGAATTTATTTCTCATCATGGTATCGAGAGCAAAATCGATCCAGCACTAAAATTTTTTTTTCTTCACATTATCCCACCACTGATCACCTCCAAAAATCACTATTGCACACAATATTTCACATACTACTACACGTTATTTTATTTTACTTTTTTTTCCTTTTCTTTTACTTTAATCACCATTCTTTTAAAATGACTATTTCACAATCACTCACTACTACTCAATCATTTTCTCTCTCCAATATCACAAATTTTATCAGTGTATCTCTTGATAACTCCAACTATCTAATTTGAAGAGATCAAGTTGAAGGAATTTTAATTACTACTGATCTCAATGGTTATATCGATGGTTCAATTTTACCACCAAAAGACTCTTCACCTGATTCTACTATTCCAAAAGAATTTCTTCAATGGCAAAAACTTGATCGCCTTGTCAAATGTTGTCTTACTGCCTCGTTGTCTTCTTCAATGGCATCGGTGGCATTGGGGTGTCCTACTGCTCGTGACCTTTGGATCAAACTCGAGCATCAATTTCTTCAACAATCTACAGCGCGTAGATCGCAACTACGCCAAAACATTCACAATTTTAAGAAATGTTCTCTCACAGTCAATGATTTTCTCACTTCATCATCAACTATGGCGGAAGAGCTTTTTGCTGTTGGGGATAGTATCCCTGATCATGATCTTGTTATTCTCGCTCTTAATGGTCTCTCATCTGAATATACTTCCTTCATCACCACTATAGAGAATCTCAACCCTCCTCCCACATTCACAGATCTTCGAGCAAAACTACTTCTCCATGAGCAACGTTTGCAATCATTTTTGCCTTCACCAGAAGCTGCACTCCATACTACTGTGAACTTTCCAGTCAATAGTTCTCGGTCTCGTAGTAAACAGTCACAACCCAATTCAGGTCGTGGTCGTGGTCAACTCTCTCCCTACTTTCCTAATAACTCAACTCCGCACTCATTTTATCCCAACCCCAATTCATACGGTCCACACTGGCCCTTCAACACTATCCAAAATCGCCCAAACCAAGCCCAATTCCCCACCCATCCTTCTACTCCCTATAAGCCTTCTACCTCATCCTTTAGCCCTTACCCCAACTTTACCCAACAACTCAATCCTACCCAATGCCAAATCTGCAAAAAATTCAACCATTCTGCTACTGTTTGTCGTTTCCGCTACGTTGAATCTCGCAATAATCAAACTCATCGTTCTTCTGCTCACACAAACATGCCCACTGCTTTTCACACGTCCACTGTCCAAGAAACCCAGCCTTAAGACTTTTCATCCTTTACATCTAGTGACATCTTTGAATGGATTCCTGATTTTGGCGCCCAGGCTCATATGGCACGTGATCCTCTTTTAGTGGATTCTACCACTCCATATCATGGTAATCAGCAAGTGGTTGTTGGCAATGGTACTACTCTTCCTATTACTTCTATTGGTCACACTGCACTTACCAAGCACCCAAAACCTCTTCACTTACGTAATATTTACATTGTTCCCCAACTTACTACAAACCTTTTAGTTGGAAAATTTGTCACTGATAATTCATGTTTAATGGAATTTTCTCCTTTTGGTTATGTTGTGAAGGATCTAGTCACCAAGACTCCGCTTCTTGCGGGTAACATCCACAATTACCTCTACCCTATGAAGATTCCTAATACATTCCACAATCCTGTAGCTCTGGCTGCTTGTGCTGTTCCTCCTGATCTTTGGCATCACCGTCTTGGCCATCCGTGTCACTCAACTCTTTCATCTTTAGCTCGATCTTTGTCATTTAAATCTTCCAAAATAACTTCTTGTAATTCCTGTTTGCTATGCAAAAGTACTCGAATTCCTTTTACTCCATCTTCTCGTGTTTCTAAAGTGCCGTTACATTTAATTCATTGTGATATTTGGGGTCCAAGTCCTTGTCTCTCTCTTTCAGGTTACCGGTACTTTATTGTTTTTATTGATGACTTTAGTCGTTTTACATGGATTTATCCACTTACTAATAAATCTGATGCCTTTCATGCTTTCCAAAATTTTAAGTCATTTACTGAAAATTTATTTTCTACTAGTATAAAATATTTTCAATGTGATAGTGCTCCCAAACTTGTGAAAGGTGTTTTTGCTAATTATCTTCATCATCATGGTTTTTCTTATCGCATCTCTTGTCCCCATACTCCTCAACAAAATGGAGTTTCTGAAAGAAAAATTCGTCATATCACTGAAACCGGGCTTACTCTTCTTCTTCATGCTTCTCTTTCCAAATCCTTTTGGGTTGAAGCTTTTTCCACCGCCACCTATCTAATCAATCTCCTTCCTACTCAAGTTCTTATTAATAAATCTCCTCATGAGGTTCTTTTTTCCAATCCTCCCTCCCTCTCTCACATTCGAGTATTTGGGTGCACTTGCTTCCCATTTCTTGGGTCTACTCGTGCTGACAAATTATCCCCAAAATCAATTCCTTGTGTCTTTTTAGGCTACTCTTCCCAACACAAGGGATATCATTGCTTTGATCCCAAAAGTTCCAAACTTTACATCTCTCGACATGTAAGGTTTCTTGAAACTGATTTTCCTTATGCTACGTCTCAAACTTCTACGTCCTCTCCAACTCCATCATCACGGGTGTTGCTTCCTTTACCAATGTCTATTCCTCCTCCTTTTGTACCTTTTTCCAATCCTACGACACAAACTCTTTCTTCAACAAGGCTTTCTTCTCTACCACCATCTCATTCCCCGCCTAGACCACCTCCACCACCATCTAGTTCCCCGCCTAAACCACCTCCACCACCAAGACATCACATGACCACTCGTACCACAACTCGTAAGCCTAACCGTTTAAATGATTATGTTACCTATACTTCCTCTCTTACTTGTCCTTCTGAACCTGACCCCACCTCTTTTACTCAGGCCAATAATTTCCTCACTGGCGTCAAGCTATGCTTGAAGAGTTTAATGCTCTTCAACGTAATCAAACCTAGACTCTAGTTTCTCCTCCTCCTAATGCTAATATTGTGGGTTGTAAGTGGGTTTTTCGAACTAAAAGAAAATCCGATGGGACTCTTGAGCGCTATAAAACTCGTTTAGTAGCTAAAGGCTACCATCAATCTCCTGGCATAGATTACACAGATACTTTCAGCCCGGTAATCAAACCCACTACCATTCGCATTCTCATCACCATTGCTCTTAATCGAAATTGGCCACTCCATCAACTTGATGTGAACAATGCCTTTCTCTACGGTAATCTTCATGAGGACGTATATATGAGTCAACCCTCAGGCTTTGTTGATCCAAAATATCCATATCATGTTTGTCGTCTTCACAAAGCTTTATATGGTATCAAACAAGCTCCTAGAGCCTGGTTTCACCGTCTTAGACAGAAACTTCATACTCTTGGTTTTATATCCTCTAAATCTGACACTTCTCTTTTTATCTTGTCTAAGTCCTCACACACTACTTTTGTCCTAGTTTATGTGGATGACATCTTGGTGACTGGTTCCTCTTCTTCCTTCATTCAATCTCTCATTGATGAGCTTCATTCTACCTTCACCATCAAAGATCTTGGTTCTCTTCATTATTTTCTGGGTGAAGCTCAATCTACATCCACCGGCCTTCTTCTTTCTCAATCTAAGTATATTCAAGATCTCCTCACTCGCACTCACTTCGACACATCCAAACCCGTCTCTAACCCCATAACCCCCACCTTACCTCTCTCTAAAAATCATGGTGTACCTTTATCTGATCCTACAGAGTATCGGCGTACTGTTGGTGCTCTTCAATATCTTTGTGTCACTCGTCCTGATATCCAATTTGCTGTTAATAAAGTGTCTCAATTCCTCCATTGTCCCACTGATATTCATTGGTCAGCTGTTAAGCATATACTTCGTTACCTACGTTCTACCCCTACCCATGGCCTACATCTTACAAAGTGTTCCCCTCTTTTAATTACTGCTTTTGCTGATGCTGATGGGCTGGTTGCCCTGATGACCGCCGCTCCACTTCCGGCTATTGCATTTTTTTGAGTTCTAATCTCATCTCTTGGAGTGCTAAGAAACAACCGACTATTGCTCGTTCAAGTACCGAAGCTGAGTATCGCAGTCTTGCTCTCGCTGCAGCTGAATTATGTTGGCTTTCTTCTCTCCTCCGTGAGCTTGGTTTGTCTTCATCACCTCCTACTCTTTGGTGTGATAATTTAGGAGCTATTTACCTTGCTGCTGATCCAGTATCTCATGCACGCACCAAACATATTGAGATTGATATTCACTTTGTTCGTGATTTGGTTCGTCAAAAAGCTCTTATTATTCAGCATGTTCCGTCCACTGCCCAAATTGCTGATATTATGACCAAAGCTCTGCCTACGAAGACTTTTCTTCAACTTCTGAACAAGCTCATTGTTATTCCGTCCATGAGCTTGCGGGAGACTGATAAGATTAGTCAAAGATCTCATTAGTTAGGATTATTTAGATTCTATTTGTTTAGATTATTTCAAATTTTATAATATCTAGATCTTAACTAATATTGATGTATGCCTATAAATAGAAGCAATGTAATGTGCTGCTTCACACAATACAATTTATGATTTCATCTTCTTTCATAAATTTATTTATCATCATCTCCATTCCTATGATACGGATCAGAATACGGACGAAACCAGCTTTTTGCAAGAATGGCCAAGTCAACCTTGTGCATATATGTTTTTATACTTCCATACCTTGTTTACACTTGGTCCTAGATTTTATCTCCCCAAAATTCCACAAGACCAACGCACGCCGGAGAAGAAGCAAAAAAAAAAAAAAAACAGTAAAATGAAGAGGGAAGGTCGTCAACACGGTATGGTGTTGACCTACCGTTTTGAGCAATATTCCTGGGGGAGAAACAACACGACTCCATCATCATCATCTCAGGCCGGCCCGCCATTTACCCGGGCTTCTCAGAACCCCACCAACCATTCCAAGTTCACCGGAAAGTGCCGATGGCCCAGGTGTGGCCACTGTCATACCCACCCGGTCGAAAAGTCAAGGTACAAGGCTAAAGGAACTCATAAGCTTAAATGCTCTGATGTTCTTACGAATCACAGGTTGGTGAAGTGGCGGGTCGTGGATTTAAGGCTTGCTCTGGCTCCGGGTTCGGCCGGGTTGAAGTTGACCGGGTCTTCTGCCAGGGAGATTTTGGACCATTTGGCCACTGATGATTACTATGAGGAGGTTGATGGTGATTTCAGTGATCATCTGGGCTATGGATACGATCACGAGCCGGATTATGATTACGGGTATGAATATGGGCCGGATGAATTTGATGGTGAAACTGATGTTGATGACGACAGAATGAGCTTTTGTGACGTAGGATTCATCTGGGAAGATGTGGAGGGACACGGTGGTCGTGGCGGTGGGTGGTGTTTGGTGGAGGAGATTTGATCGAGCTTCATGATTCGTTCATGCTCTATATTGATCAGTTACTCCCATCATGATGATCATGCACATTATCATTACTTTATGGTTTATTGGCTTTAGGCACAAATTGATTTATAAAACCTCAACTTGCCAGGAAGGATTAATGTAAGTTGACTTGTCCGTTCTCTTCCTTCAATCCTGATGTTTTCCAGTTCATTTACGGACTACGGTACGATATAGCTTAAAAACAATACTACTACGCATATATTATTATCAAATATTCCTTTTGGTATGTTAAGAACTCCACCCTTAACCATAGGTCGAGAGTTAGAATTTCGCTATAGATATGAAATAATCTTAAATCTTTTGGCTAGCTCGCCCACCCATCGAGGTGTCTACTATGAGCAATGGGAATTAGTCATTATTATTAACGGTTGACACTCTGCAATATGAAAAAAAAAAATTCTATTTGTTGTATTATTCTATTCAACAAAATAGACTTTTACAATGGGACAATTAGAACATTTATTTTATAAAGAGGCATCTGCTCTTTTGTTTCGTTTCTTTTCTTTTGATTTTCTTTTTCTAGAAAAACGAGTTCAACCTTACCGCATATGGACCTATAAACTTCATGGATTAACATCTAGGAGAGCGTAAACTATGCCAAGCGAAGAAATTGGTGCAAAATGGTAAGGATGCAAGGAAACTCTTTTTTAATTGACAAAATAAGAAGTAGAAGTGGGCTTGCTAGGCAAGAAATATCAAACTCCGTGCAATGTCTTTTTCTTTGTTTTCCGATGAAATGCGCGTGCATCAGCTTTATTTTTAGGTTCTTTGTGGTTTTTTCAAACTCCATCGCACCGTGCTTCTCAAATACTCCGTACGTAGTACATGATTTTGAATTTTGTTTTACTTGGGGTGTTGACAGCGTTGTATGATCAGTATCCACATGTTCAAGATTTTGGAAATGTAAAGTAGAGGAAGCTAATTGGTCAGTCATTCCAAATTTTATCCTTTAATGGTGTGTTTTGACCCGTACTAGTTCATTCATTTGTTTTACCCAAACAAAGATGGATTGCCTGGAATGAATTGAAATATTATGTACTTTCTTCATCCCAAAATAATTATCGAGTTTGCGAAATAAACAAAAATATTATGTGCATAAACCTCCAATTATACTGAACACGAACAATCAACAGAATGAAGAATATGGCAGGTGGAAGAAGAGGAATGACGCAAAAATCAAGCAAATTAGCACTCTAATAAGTTAAATGCAAACAAAAGCCCAATCAGAAGATTGTGCATAGTACATCAAATTCAACATCCAAAAGGGAAATAAGTGAAAAATCCATTTCTTTTCTTAAATGCAACAAAATGGAGATTACAATATCATATGTATCAACGACAAATTAAAATCCCTTCTTCAAATGCAAAGTGTAAAAGATAGAAGGACCCAAGGATATCACATTCACATATCTCCTACTGATCAACTTAGGAGCATCCCCCACATCATCATCATTCGCGATTTTAACAATCTTGGATACAACTCCTCCCACCCACCAAAAGATCAAAAAATGTCCTTTACCTGGGAAATTAGCACTGTAATTCAGAAGCTTACCAGAAATTATTCTACTTGGCACCAAGCCAAATGGGATTTCTTCCAGAAAGGAACAATAACAAAGTCGCCCCTTCTACACCAGGGATTCACCTAATCAAGACAAACCCTAAATCACCCTGTCAGATCAAAACGATCCCGGCTTTTATTTCGACATAAACCCACAAAAACACAAATACATCATCAAACGCATCATCATCAACAATACACAAAGATCAACGCGAATATGAGCAACCCATAAACAATTACAAGAGCCTCAGTACAAGCAAAATAAAAAAAGGGAAATTTACGTATATATATCTCAAAAAATTGAAGAAGAACAAAATAGATCTAAGGTTTTTATTGTCGCCAAAACTAATCGTTATACGCTTCAAAAATGCAAAAAATGAAGAAACCGGGTTTTCAAAACGCTAAAACACAAAATTCACATTTTTAAAACGCAAACTAAAAAAAATGCGTATTTTTATTTTAAAAAGGAAAAATACTCACACTAAAGCAGGAGTCCAAGTCCTGGACTCCTTCTTAAAGATGACTCGCGTTTTCGAAATGCGACCGAAGCCAAATGGAGGTTGGTCTATAGTATCTATATATAGGCAACACATAAGCCTTGGTTTCCACCGTTTTGTGGCAGTATACGGCGTATTTCATCTTGTGGCAAACCACTGATTTGTCGTCCTTGATGCCATTCAACTTCCGGGCATCCACAATTTGGTAATTTTGGGATGACTCTGTATCGGGTTTCTGAACCTCTGTTGAAACCGCCTCGATTTTTTGACCCAATTTGGTTGTGATGAAATCCACCATGGATTCCAGCGAAGTGGCACAGTACTTCTCCTCGCCGTCGGTTCCGGGATCCTCGCATTCCTTGATGGTGTTCTTAACCGCCTCCGCCAAGACTGAATCGGGTTTGAGATGATGAGAAGAAAAGGAAAATTTTAAAATTAGCCCAAAACCCCACATGAAATGTGAATAGGAAGAAAAAATTTATCCCCCACATGACCGCGCTTCAAAAGCGCGAATCCCCTCTTTCGTGCTTTAAAAACGCTTGTTAAGCAAAAAAAAAAAAAAAAGTGCTAGAGGGTTTCAAACCTGGCACCTCTTTAATCTAAGAGATATCATTTAAGCCGGGATTACACATCTGATAATTGAAAGCTATTTAACAATTATATTACAAAATTTATTATTTTTGTATATGTATTAGTTAGTTTTACTTAAACGGAATCTATAATTGATCAAATTTTTACTTTTTACATACGTACTACTTATTTTTACTCATACGGAATCTATTATTGATCGAATTTGAACTTTTTTTATACGTACTACTTAGTTTTACTTAAATGAAATCTGTTATTGATAATTTGAACTTTTTACATATGCACTACTTAGTTTTACTTAAAGGGAATGTGTTATTGATCAAATTTATACTTTTTACACATGTACTACTTAGCTTTACTTGAATAGAATATGTTATTGATCAAATTTGAACTTTTTTACACACGTACTACTTAGTTTTACTTAAATAAATCCTGTTATTCATCAAATTGAACTTTTTACATACGTATTCTTAGTTTTACTTAAACGGAATCTGTTATTGATCAAATTTGTACTTTTTACACACGTACTATTTAATTTTACTTAAACGGAATCTGTTATTGATCAAATTTATACTTTTTACATACGTACTACTTAGTTTTACTTAATCTGTTATTGATCAAATTTGAACTTTTTACATACGTACTACTTAGTTTTACTTAAACAAAATCTGTTATTGATAACATTTCTACTTTTTACATACGTACTACTTAGTTTTACATAAATGGAATCTGTTGTTGATTAAATTATGTACTTTTTGCATATGTACTACTTAGTTTTAATCAAATAGAATCTGTTATATATGATCAAATTTGTACTTTTTAAATAAGAAAAGTTTACTGTACCGGTCAAAGAAAAATATTATAAATGATGTAAAATCTACAAATTAAAATATTAAATCTACAAATTTAAAATATAATATAATATATCATGTAATTGATATTTAAAAATATCAATAATGATAAATGATGTAATTTTAAGAATTTATATAATTAGATGTAATTCAATTTATAAATTGCTTATATTAATTATGATGGTTTAAAAATAAGAAAAACACTTGAAATACTATTTGAGATATAATTGAAATAGAAAAATTATTATTAAGGGTTTAATTGAAAAAAATTTCAATTTTATGTGGTTCAAATAAGAAAAAAAAATTAAAAGATGTCATAATATGAAATATTAGGGTGCTTATTTTGTAAAAATAAACTCAAAACCCGAAACTCAACCCATTGCAAAACCCAAACCACCCCAAAACCTTAACTTACCATGAAACACAAAACTCAAAGCCCAACCCGAAACCCAACCCCTCCAAACCCAACGCCCCTGAAGCCCAATTATTCCACCCCAAAACACTCCCAGGGAACCCAACCACTCTAAACCCAAACCACCCCAAAACCTTAACCCACCATTAAACCCAAAACTCAAAGTCCACCCCGGAACCCAATCCCTTCATAAACACTATTGAAGCTTTTTGCATTTCGAAAACGCGATCCATTATTTTCCCTTTTGATTCCAGTTCTTTTTTTTTTGTTTTCCTCCGGATCAACTTTTCCAAAAATTAATTAATAAGTTTCGCGTTTTGCAAACATGAGAATACGTTATTTCACGTTTGTAAAGCACGAGAAAATTAAAAATGTCCAATTCCGACACTCTAGACATATTCTCTCCCACCCCTTTTAATCTGAGCCACCCTAAAGTCAAGCACCCATAAAAAAAGCAAAAAGGCAGGAAACTGAGGGTACGAAATTACAATTCAGGGGGCAATTCATTAGGGAAGTGAAATCGGTCATGCGATTGTCCTTGGAAGTACCAATTAATTCATGATTTATCCCTTCTCGAATATAAATTAGTACTCGCTGTCAATTATAAATCATTCCTTGTTTGGAATTCACTGAAACAGAGACTTCAGATGAAATTTTTAATGGAGAAGAAAGGTGAGGGAATTTTGGAAATGGCCTTCGATCACATATCTATAGTACTTAAGTAAAGCAGCAAACAAAAAGAATATGTGTCAGCACCGTAATGAAAATTTTCCCGCCAAAAGCTATTTTCAGTACAAAATCATTTTTGACACGTGGCACTCTAACTAATCAGAAAAAAAGATGGAATAGATAAATACATAAATTCCTTAATTATAGCCACATAAAAATCTCTTAATTATAGGTATATACTAATCTTTTAAAACAACAATATTTAATTGATAAAATCAAATGTAAGGAAATCCCATAAATCAAGTAAAACACCAGTAATGTCTTCCCAATTCCCAATTTCAAAAAATCTCTTCCATTCCACTTCTCTCTCACACCCGGGCCTT